TATTTTATTCAATTCTGTAACATTCTTGTATGATAGAGCAAACAGTCAACTCTATTTACAGTGTCACATTATTTATAATCCCCTTCACACCAACAATTGGAACACATTTACACCTTCACTACATCTCATAAATGACTATTACAGATTAAAACTTGAGATGTACGCATCTTGATGGGTAGCTCCTCATCTTTAGAGATATGATTAGTGTAATGTCTCTCCAATGTGTGGGAAGCTACAATTTGTGTATACCGAAATGCATCATAAAAAGAATCTATACATGCTAAATAGATCCTACAATAAGTGTTCCCTTCATGCATTACTGCTCAACCTGTAAATCCTCCATAACACAGAACATGGATATGGAGGCGCAACCTTTGTACAAAATACAATGTTAAAAAAACTGTTTAATCACATGTAAAACCTTTTTTTTTTCCAGTGATAGCAAAACTATACAGCCTTGATTTTTCATTTACACATTCTTCTTATTCCCCCTCAACATTCATTCGTTCTTTTCAAACACTGAAATAACAACTATGGAATTAAACATGCCTGGCAGCCTGACTCTACATCTAAAAGCAACAATCTCTTTCAGACAAGCCCAACACTGTCAATAACCTGATCGCTAACATGTTGTTCAAACGTGGTGCTAACCTTACAAGACGTGACCCTTTCTCCGCCACAAAGTACACCAGGCCCTCAGGAGAAATGGGAAAATAGCAACTGTAAGTTCTGGATAAGTAACATTTTGGCGTAAAAACACGAGCCATCTCAGGACAGGATCAGAGCCCGGCTAGGAGCGTGGGATTTTAGTGAGCGAAGGTAGCGCCGGGCTTTTTCTGTCATTATTAACTGGTCTTTAGTTTGTCCGCAAACAACCATTTCCCATTCCTTTGACATCTGTGGAGGAAAAAAAAAAACATAAACAGATGTAAATGACTTCACTCTCTGATTACATTTATAACTCCTCTCAAAAGAGCAAAAAGGTGGAACATACTGGAACTGGGGGGACTGTGCTGGGAAATATGGCACTGTCACTTGGTCCCAAAAGGAAGCCCTGATCCAAAATGTTTTCGTGCAGCTTGCTGCTAAGTGGTGAAGAGCTGACAGAAATCAACATCGGTTCTTCCTGTGGCCAAAAAAGTAAGGACCAAATATCAAGAATTAGGATATGACTAAACCACACGCAGGCTAATAAAGCGTTCCCACACACTTTACCTTGATGTTGTGTTTGGCTGATTTACGTTTGGATGTAGGCATCACCTGGCAGTCCATTACATCCAGGGCCAACGACTTACGCACTTTCTTCATAGGAGGGCGATGCTGGCAATAAAAGACGATCAAATCGGCAATGAGAAACAAGGTCTGTTAAAAATATCTGAGTGAAGAATGGAAGGAGGGTAGCAATGAGCTGTCAGCAGCTCTTAGCTCAAAGCATTCTCACAGAGTGGTGGCAGTAAGAGCCTGCTTTGGGTAAAGTGACTGAACAAGGCTGCTTTCTGTGTGTGACAACTGTGATTGACAGCCCCGAGGTGGGAACTCCTGAGTGTGAAGAAAGGAGGTGCTATGTTCCAAAACTTTACAAGTTACAAAAGGCTCAGTGTTTGTGTAGCTGAAGGTCATTAACAGAATAAAATAGCATCCCCTGCATGCACCATTACAAAAACCCTTTTAAACAGAATTCCTCCATACTAACATCTGTCAGTTTGCAGCTACGGCTCTAGGTGTATTATACTCATACATGTTGCACTCACAATGATTTTTTCTTTAAATTATGTGGAACATAGCAGAACAAAAAGAGTGCAAAAGCGTGCAGACTATATAGTGGAAAGAAGACCACCTAAGACTATTCAGCCAGTAGGGGAAGGATATGTCATCGCTACCAGTGCCGGCTATCTAGCTAAGAAACAGCAGTAGATCCTTTCCCTTCCCCAGGTATTAGTGTTTTTGGCATTTGTCTTAAACTCGAATATTCAGTGTAGGATTAGCACTGTGTTATACTGCCCACAGTATAAGTGTACAAAGGTGAAGGGACCTGATGCATGTGAGCAGAAACACACTGCTATCACTGACAGAGCATGACAGCACATGTAACTGAACTGTAAAGTTTGATGATTTTAGCAACTTAAATCTTCTTACAACTGCTAGTGAGACTTTTAGTAGTTTTCCTAGGATCAGTTTCACTCCAGGTTTTAGATATTTAGTGCACAATATGTATACTATGGATGTTATGATCAGGAGTATCAAGATGTCAGAGCACCCACACTACTACTATATTAGTATAGCGGGTCCACGGGGATGAAAAAAAGAGACAGTTTTTGTGAATTAAGAGAACACTAATCATTTTTAAATAAAATTCTAGATATTGAGCTGCTAGCCAGCATTTTTTAATATAATTTTATGATGTTATTTTATTTTATTATTTTTTTCAGTGTAAGCCTAATGAGCCATGATGATGACTTTCTTTAATTTACTGTAGTAGCATCTCCCTAAAGTGGACAAACTCAAAATTGTGTTTATTTTTTTAATACATCTCAGCCTCATGTTAATGGATGGGCTATTATATTTCTTTATACTAAAAGAAAGGGAAACAATATGCAGGTGTATTAGGTTAGTAAATCTACCAGTCTGGCCTACTTGAAATCAAATGTTGGGCAGAAAGTGAGTTTGACACCAGCCTCTGACTGAAATGACTAAAAATCTGTGCGATGTATTAACATCGGCTTTTAGTTACCACAGTTTTGCGCCTCTGTTCGGGTGGAGTTAAGCGCATGATTAAGTCGATCCCCGCATCTCTCAAGATGACCTCATTTATGTCGTCCTCAAGGTTGGGAGTCTGAGGCTGACAAAAGAGCAGAAAAGCCTGTTAACAGCACAGGAGAAAGACGAGAGCTAGCATGTTTTCCCAGACAGCACGTGCTGATGCTCACCAGAGGCTGCAGAGGCCCGTACTTCTCCATGGCATTTTTAAACGGTGTTGGAGTTCGTGGGGTACACAGCTCAGACTTGTGGTTGGGTGTAACAAAACTAGAGAAAACAAAAAGGAGAACACAGAGAAGTTCATATACACTGTGTTTGATTAACAACGTATAATTCTTACTGTGAGAAAGACGCTAGAAATCATTGTTCAGATTAATATCAGGCCCTGCTTAAACTATGTTAATGACAAAAATAAAAATCCTACTTCCAATTATTATCCACTCATTTCAGCTCAGTGTTACGTCACTTATGATCACCCTCACTGGTGGGTGTACCACAGGGGTGTCAAACTCAAATACACAGTGGGCCAAAATTCAAAACTGGAACAAAGTCGTGGGCTGACGTTAATATTTATTGAAGAAAAAAAATCTTCCTCCAGATTTAAGAATGAATCTTTTCTTATGGACTCAAGTTTTGCTGAAAAACTGAATATGGAACAAGCAAAGCTCAATACTAAACAATATATATATTAGCTGTATAATACCAGTAGGCCAGCTCTAATAATAATTTGGTATGGCTTCGCGGGCCAAATGTAATTAGGCTGCGGGCCAAATTTGGCCCGCGGGCCAGAGTTTGACACCTATGGTGTACCGCCTCACTAATACGTGTGGCTTTGAGCAGAAGACACAAGCAGGCTGAATAGTTACAGTAATCGATGCGCTGGCGAGATGTTATGTTAGTGCAAGTGCTGCATTAAACACTGAACATAGGACTCGATTAGCCCATCGTCACCAATATCTAATCTCTCCAAACTTGAATCAGCATCGAACCGATATCTGATTTTTACACCACTTTACAATTAATGATTAGTTATTATTAATCTCTCACTCT